ATCCTAAACTTATTTGGCAAAAATTATAAAACTACTATGTTTAAAAAAAAGAGACAAATGAGGATATTTATAGGAACACAAAATTATTTTTAAAAGTAACAATGCAAATTTGGTAAAAAAATGAAATGTAAATTAAATTTAAAAAATAAAACTAATTTTCAAAATCTTCAATGACTAGGTTTAATGGCAAATTAGACACAACTGGAAAAATGCACAAACTAGGATGTGTGTCATAATGAATTACTCAGAATGTAGTATAGAAAGACAAAAAGATGTAAAGTTGGAAGAGAGGCTAAGAGACATGGCACATAGTGAGAAAAACAAACATTTAATCGACACTACAGAAAGAAAAGACAGAAATAATGGAGTAGGAGCAAATATTTCAAGAGATATTAGCCGGGAAATTTTTAAAACTGATAAAAGATATTAAGCCACAGATTCAAGACACACTACAAATGCTGAGCAAGATTAACTCACAAAAGACTAAAGACTAAGTTACACCTCCAACAACATGAAAAAGACATATATACACGGTTGTTTATGACAGCCTTACTTAAAATAACAAAATACTGGAAACAACTAAATGCCCACATTGGGAGATTGGTTGAATATACATGGTACACAATGGAATAGCCTACAGTTGGAAAAAAATTAAAAGATCTCTGGACAGATATAGTGTAATTTTAGGATATGTTGTTAAATGAAAAAAAAATCAAGATGCAAAAAATGTTTACAGGAAATTATCTTTGTGTAAGAAGGAATTAAAAATAATAACATATATTTGCAAACGGAAACATAGGAAAGGTATGAAAATAATGAAATTGGTCACCTACAGGGATGGGTGGAAATGGGATGGAAGGACTGGGGACGGGCATGGGCTTCTCCAAGTCCATCTCTTCATATAGTTTTGACTTTGGATCTATGTTAATGTTTTACATATTCAAAAAATAAAGTAAAATCAACAAGAATGGGAGAAACTCTGTAACTGAATACAAACTACTTGTCAAATAGATAACATAACCATTCAGAGAGAACAAAGGCAAAAGAATTAATCCAAGTGACTTCGAACAAAGTATTTTGATTATACATCCTGAGGGGAATATATTCTAAAGACAAAAAAAAAACAGCAAAGAAATTTTGAACTTCATTTGTTTGTGGTGGTGGTATTAATTATTATTAATAATTTATTGTTGTACTACTTGCAGGATTGTGTTATACGTATTGTAGGATTCAGCAAATGAATAAATTTATCAATGTTTTTGTAGCCCTGGTATGCACTGTAGGATAAAGACAATACAAATCAGAAATAGGAGAAGAAGATAAAATCTTAATTCTAACTGTATAAATTCATCTTTTTAAAAAGAAAACTGTATTTCTTGGCTATGTCCACTGAGAGAGCTTAGACATGATGACACGTTAGCAGCAAAGAACACCCCTAGCACCCGCATCTTGGTTTCTAAATAAAATCCCCTATCAATTGGCACTTTAAAGATATTGCTAACTGTATGGCTAGGGTAGGGAAAAATAGATTAGCCTGGAATTACTTGTTCCAATAAGTTAGAAAAGTGCTTAAAAATTGATGAGGAAACAGAGTCATCTTGAAGGGGATGCTACTGGCCAAATTGGTAAAAAGTCGAGCATCAAAATTAATAATGAGAGCACTGGATTATGACATACTGATTGATAAAAAACCCCGTAAGTCCATTTAGGTTTTATCTTTCTAATATAAAAAAGAATGGGAAGAGAAGGGAATATTTTTATGGAGGAACACCAACTAACAATAGTAGAAGGAATGACAGACATTTAAAAATCACCATTCTATGTTCACTATGGTAATAATTCAGGCAAGAATCATCAGTAGATGCTAGAGCCATCGGGTACAAGAATAGTCACATGGTATCACAGTATCTCCATACACATACTTATAAATCACATGGACGAAGGTACTTTTATGAGGGAGAAATTTGGCAGACACTGCCTTAAGCAAATTATCAAATTTAATACCACTAATTCAAATATTTGCTAATATTTGCTAATATCACCTGTATCCCCAAATGTGGCAAATCAAGGACACAGTACAATCTTCTTTGCCTGAAGAGCTTTATCTGATTCTAGTAATGGAGAAACAGCTTGGACAAATCCAAACTGAAATGCACACCAAAAAAGCCAGCTTCAGTTTTTCAAGGACATAGGATAAAGAAAAAGAGAAAAAAGTCTAAAGAACCATTTAGATTAAAAGGGGTTAATGAGGCAGCACAAGCAAACGCAACGTGTGGTCGTTGGTGACTCTAACAAGCTACAGCTGAAAAAATGAACAAAAGAATGAAGTCAATGAATTTAATTCACCACATTAGCAGGTTAAAGGAGTAAATGAGGCAATCATCTCAGTAAGTGCAGAGAAAGTATTAGATAAAATTCAACTCCCACTCATGATTTTTTTTTAAAACCTCTTCGCAAATTAGGAATAAAAGAGAACCTTCCTAGTGTCATAAAGAGTATGTACAGAAAAGCCCACTCTTACTGAAGAAACACTCAACACTTTCCTTTTGAACTTGGGAATAAAGTAAGAATGTCTCCAACCACCACTTCCATGAAAAATTGTAGGGGAGGGACCAGCCAGCATGTGAGGAAAAGAAAGAAAAGGTACACAGGTTGAAAAGAGAGCAACCAAATTCTCATTCTTGGCAGATTATGTGTCCAGAAAATCCAAGAGGATATACAGATAACTTATTCAAATGTATAAGTTTAATTGGTTCAAAATTTTAAAAAATTTATTTCTATAGACCAACAACATTTTCAAAATAACAACTTAACATTCCATTTCTCCGACAACAAAAATATTATATAGCTAAGAATAAATGTAACAAAATATATGCAAGGCCTCAGAGAAAACTATAAACTCTATCTTCCCCGACTTGATTCATAGAATTAAAAGCAATTTCTATCAAAAGCTCAACAGGTTTTTGGGGGGAGTAGAAATTGACAAGTAGTAAAATTTATATGGAAGTTCAAAGCCAAGTCATTTCTCAAGAAAAACAAAACAGAAAGACTTGTTTTTCCCCAAATAATAAAACTTACTATAAAGCTATAGAATTAAGACAACGCGATTTTGGCACAGGGATAAGCAGAGGGACTAATAAAGCAGAATGGAGTTTTAAAACAGATGCAAGCCCATATGAATCCTCTATATACGAAAAGAGGAGGCCCTTCAGAGCGGCGAGGAAGCAACTGACTTTTAATAAATGGTGCTGAGGCAACCAGGTATCTGCATGAAAAAACATCAGATTGGGCCCTCCTCTTACACTAGTCACGAAAATCAGTCCCAGATGTCTTTACAAAGAACCAAGTGAGAAAAGCAAATGTGTAGTTTTTAGGAGGAAATATAGGATAACATCTCCTGCCTTGGGATCCTGAAGATAAGGTCTTAAAGTAGACATAAAGAGCTCAAAGCAGAAAAGGTTAAAAACTTTTAGAAATGGAGAGACTAGAGAGAGACAATGGCCAGACCAGAGAGGACACTAGAGCTCTGACCCACAGGAGTAGGCAGGCAAGGAAGCCCCCCTGCCACCCCTGCTCCCTGTGGCAATCAGCCTGGAACAGTCAGGACTGCAGCTCCCCTGTTTTTTTCCCCTGCTTCCAACTCAGGACCAACCAGAGAAAGCCAAGTATCTTCCCCAAACGAATCACCTAAGATGCCTCATTTCTAGTTAGCCGCCTTCAGCTAGCTTCCCATAGCAACAGGCGCCAATCACAGCACCCCGACCCCAAGCCTTCCTGCTTTTCACCATCAAGCTTTCCCACTCTCCTACCTGCCTTGGAGTCTCTGCCAAATGCAAGTGATGGTGGCTGCCTCCCTCGCTATAGCAGCCTCTGAATAATCAGCCTCCATTTGTTCCACCTGGGCGGTCTCCATTTCTTTCCCGCCCCCAAATTAAGACTCTTGCTCGCTTAAAGTCTCCATAAAGAGAGTGGAGAGACAAGCTTCAGAACAGAGGATATCTGTTGGTTATACCAACAAAACTGAAAAACTCCTTAAAAAAAAATCAGCGGGAAAAAGGACAAACCATAGAAAAAATGGGTAACACACTTGAATGAGCACTTCATAAAAGAGGAATTCAAATGGTCAATAAACACAGAAGTTCCTAAGCCTCATGAGTAATCAGGAAGATGCAATCCCCCACAGTAAGCAGAGCAGGTGTGGCCTTCCCCCTCCACCTTGCACCCCACCCAGAGACTCAGCGAGGGTGACTGACAGGCCCTAGGTAAGCAGCAGAAGTAGCACGTGGACCCCAGTCAGCCCCCGGGTCTCTGTCCCCACCTCCTCCTTTCCCTCTAGGGGCTACAGGGCAAGTCCTTTCTAACTCTGGGCCCAGGCCTCTCAGGTGGAGAGAATAAAAAAATTACTGAGGCCCTTTTCAGTTTAAGATATTCTGCCTTTCTGAACGAATGGAGGAAGGAAGAGCCAGGGGTCGGGAGAAGAGGGGCAGAGGCACAGTCTTCTAACCACTAGCTCAGGAGAAACCCAAAGCCCTGGCTGGTCACTCACTCACTTCAGTCAGGGTCAGTAGCACTGAAGAACGTGCGCAATCCTTTAGAATTTAGCATCCTGAAACCTGCTTTCCTGTGTCCTTTTAGCAAAAGCAAACAGCCCACCTAATGATCGACATGTGCTTATCACTCGTAGTATTTCCATTTTAAGAATCAAGGTCCATGGAGGTAGAACTTGCCCAAGGCCACACAGCACAGAGAACTAGAACCCGGGTCTTTGTGACTCCTGCACCCAGGGTTTGCTTCTCCACCACATGGCTGTTGCCCATCTGCGCTTCTCACCTGTCCCGACACCCGCCTCTCACCCCACAGCTTTGGGCACTTAAGCCTCAGCATTCCAGCCCGCTTGGGGCTCACCGGTGCCTTCTGAAAAGGACACACTTCTCTCCCAAGCTCCATGGGACACCAGCAGGGTTGATTCACTGGTCCAGTGAATCAAAAAGCAGACTCACCTTGCCCCAGAAGCAGCAGCAGCCCCAGAAGGAAGGTGCGCGGCTGCAGCCCCATGCCACAACGCACCAGGCGCCTTGCGTCTTGGGTGAACCTTTTCCGCAGATGACAGGCTATCACTCTTCCTCTGGTTTTATGCTCCTGTGTTGTCTGATAGGGTGCCTGTCATAAATTTTACTGTGTTCACCTTTGAAAGAGGGCAGTGGCCAGCTGTAAATGATAAATATTAACATTTAGGCAGATTTCTCAAGGTAGATAGGTCAAAGATGGGTGGTATGTTCTAGACGAAGGTACCAGAAGACCCGTGTTGGGACTGGAAATTGCAGACACTGAGCTGGAATCACAGGTCCGTCACAGCTGTGAGAGCTTGGGTGCACCCCTTTGCTTAGCCTCAGCTTTTCTGCTGTAAGCTATGGAAACAAAAGCCATTAAAATAATAAAAGTGAAAGTACTTTCTAATAACTGTAAACCAGTATGCCACCGCCAAACGTGAGCTCTCTTGCCTTCAAATGTGTTCCCGCAGTGTCTCCGGAGCGCCGCTGGGTTCCCTGGTCTGCATGGAGCAGAGAGGTTTTCTCTGACGGCGCCCCCAGAGCCATGGGTGGCTGGGACTGTTGGGCTGATGTGTGTGCCACACATATATCGTCTGCATGTTGAACTGACCGATACAAGCCAGAGAGGTGAGCCGTGGAACTCATCTGATAGTATCAGCTATTTTCTAGGGGCAAACTAAGACTGCTGGGCTGGGGCTAACCTGGGCAGACAGAACTGGAGTTTAAAGCCTGGGTGACCAAATATCCTTGAGGGCGAAATTGAAGTTTCTTCCTGCAATTGTCAAGGAACAGTTGCTTTCGGTTAATACAACAAATATATTGAAATCATCCTTGCGTTTTGGCCATCCTTATGGCAGCGGGACAGAGAAACTAGCTTCTGAGACCTAGCTAGGAGTCTGGGGCTGGTTTCTATTACCCAACCTCAGATCTTGCTCTGCTGACATTCTTCTCAATTGTTTAAAATTACACTTATAGCTGGGTTGTCTTAAGTATAAACTGAAGGGGAAAAGGGTGGCCCTTTGTTCCCGGCTCCCTGATATGAATGTTGTCTCCCTTTCTCATCTGCTCAGAAAAACGTGACTTGCCGGTGACCACTGATTTAGCTATGCCAAAGGTGCCGCCTCAGGGCTGCACAGAGGCCTCAGGTCACACCAGGAGTGTGGAGGCGCTGACACAGCCAGCCCAGCTGGCCATCGTCTGGGCCTGGAGCCTGTCAGGGAGTGGCTCACACAGAAGGAAGAAGAAATAAACCCAAAGGCAAGTCTCCAGGGGCCCCTTAGGCATAGATGCTTCTGTTATCTTCATTGAACTGCTCACAAGCTCAACAGGAGACCCAAAGCTGCTGTCTCCCTTTAAGGATGTTAAGATTGCACCCAGCTCTAGGCCACCAGCAGCTTGAGGGAGCAGTCCTGAACCTACTTGGACTGAATGAGTGTTGACAGGTCCCCACTCATGCTCAGGCCAGTTGGAGGTAGGGGTGGGAAGTGTGGGCAGAAATAGCCTGGCTCTGTGATCCGTGTATTCACCTCTGTCTTTCTGCTTTTCTGCAAGACCATCATGGCCCAACCGGACTGGCACACATACCAATCTCTAACCTCTTTTCCATTTAGAGAAACTGAGAAATGACTTAAAAACATCTTTAACCTATGTGAGGCAGTTATATATAGTACAGACTTAATTCCCTCTTAGATAAAGAAAAATCTTTGAGTTCTGACAATGTATCAAAGAATTCTCAGCAACTGAGGCAGCAGGAGCACATTTCTTGGGCACACTTGTCAGCCTCTGTGATGTGCTCTTTCCATGTGTTAGCTTACTTAGCACCTATTACCCGTGTGATCTGTTAGCAGCTGTGAAGACAAGGGACAAAGGACTCATCAAAAGCCAGAGACAAGCTCCAAAACTTTATAAACTTTTGTTCTCTGATTTTTGCTACTAAAATGTCCTAAGAGAACATGTCCTAGAGAAGGGAAGATGCTCCATTTCAGATTTTAGCAAACATTAGCAGATGTTCCTTTTGGGAAAGGCACAGGCCCATGAATTCAAATCTTTTTTAGGGACAGCAGTCCACACCTTGGTCAGAAGGCTGGTGACTGAAAAAGTTGAGTGTTTGCTGTTGTCCAAGAATCCACAAGGGGGTGCTAGACCAAGCCTCGGCCCCAGAGCCTCTGTGGATTAAAGCAACACTGGCCTCAGAAGAATACTTTTCAAATTGAGGGTCACAACCTATTATTACTCCATAAATTTAATTTGGTGGATGATCAGCCCATTAAAAAAACTGAATGGAGGAAGGGCTTCAAGATAGCAGAATAGAAGGACACAGAGCTCACCCTCTCCAATGAACACATCAAAAATACAGTGAAGGAGGCCAGAAGGAGAAAGAAAAATGCCATATGATGTCGCTTATATGTCAGATCTAAAAAAAGGACACAAATGAACTTACCTACCCAACAGAAACAGACTCATAGACAGAACAAACTTATGGTTACCATGGGTTAAAGGGGATGGGAAGGGATAAATTGGGAATTCAAAAACTGCACCTCTTGGAGAGTGATGGAAATGTTAGCTATCTTGATTGAGGAGGTAGTTCCATGGGTGTATACATTTATCAAAATTCAACAAATTATACATTTGAAATATGTGTAGTTTACTGTACCATGCCACAATAAAGGTGTTAAAAAAATACATCTTCATGTGAAACAATTCTCACAGAATACCTACTGAACTTTGACAGAAGATTTTTGTATAACTGGAACTACAAGGAAAATGAAACCTTGTTTCATGAAACCAGACCCACAAGGCCCTACTGTATAGCACAGGGAGCTACATTCAATACCATTTAGTAGTCTATAATGAAAAATAACATGAAAAGTACCTACTGGCCTTCACCATGGTGACCTTACATCACTCACTCCTGCATGCAAAGACAGGGCCTTTCTCTTCCTGCCATCTTGGCACCTCCAAACCCCTCCCCACCATGGCACTTAGGGTGGTGTCCTGCATATACAAGGCCCTCAACAAGTCTTCATTCATTGGTTGAATATTCTCAAGGGGCAAAGAGACAACTGGTTTAACCAGGCCAGTGTTCTCCAAAACCCTTCCCAGTCACAGATGTAAAAGGAGGCTTGGTTTAGGACTCTCCTAACCCAAATGTTATCCAGATGCCAGTGTTCCTGAGTATACAGGATGCAAGATCTGCAGGCACACATGTGCAAAACATTGTCCAATCTGAGTAACTAAGCAGATTTAGCTTCCTGAGGGCAAGTGATTTTCTTATAATCAATATACTAAAGATAAGAAGAGCTTAGTTAAGGAGTGAAAAAGTAAGAGACAAAATGAAGAAGTGACAAGGAAAGTATGTCTAGAAAAAATATGATTTTCAAATATCACAGCCTTATTAATAAAAAGAGAAAGAAGGACAGGGAAAACCCCAGTAGACCATACACTCGATGAAACCCGGCCTCCTTGTTCTCTACTATGTCCCTAGCAGCTGGCATGTTGCCTGTGGTAACAGGCATTCATCAAACATGGGATGAATAAATAAATGAGTGAAAGTCAGAATAAAAAGAAATAGACCAAGACTACTATAAAAAGATCAGCTCAACAAGACAGAACAGAAAGATGAAAGGAAGACAAATCATGTTTTAGGACAGAACAAAGAGTCATCAGAATAACGTAGATTGAGGAGAAAAAGTGAGGCACGATGCTCCAATACCACGAAACACGATGGGAAGAAATAATGGAGAAGCAACACTGAGGCTCACAGTTCGTGGTCTTCCCCAAGGTTGCACCATTATCTTCCCACCTAGTGGTTCTCAAGCCTGGCTGCAGATTGGAATCACCTGGGGAGCTTTTAAGACAAATACTTGTGCCTGCACTTCACCCTCAGACCTTCTGAATTAACTGGTTTAGGCTGGGACTTGGTATCAAGATCAATGGTGGATTGATGGGGAGCCATCAATGGGGAGCCAGCCCTGGCCAGTGCCCAGCACTGAAGGATGAAGAGAGCTTCATCTCTGCTGCCCTGGATGAGCGAAAGGTCCACAGGACATGGCCTGATGCCACAATAGTCTGTGGATGCTGACAAATTCGGACTGACCTGGCAGCCTCCGCAGAGAGGAAACCCACGGGAACACACTGGGTAAAACACTGGGACTTTCCTCTGAGGTCAGGAGTAGATGGGGAAAGGGCCAGATTCTGGTGCCTGGAGAGGCCCAGCCATTGAGCACCAGGATGTGTGGGCAGCTCCAGGTCAACCATGATGACCGTTATTACCTGCAGTCATTTCGTCTTCATTGTGTCTTGGTTTCCCAGCCTGTGAGACTAACGACATGAATTCCATTCTCTCATATGCAGCTTGAAGAATGGAACCATGGCAGCTGGGGAAGGGGAAGACGAGCCGCCTACTTCGAGCATACAGGGTGCTCCCCCTCCCACACAGCCCTTCATGCAGAGAAGGGCACTGTCACTGGCTGACACTCATTTACAGAGGGGGAGCGTGGGGTCCCCACAGCATGAGCCCTGACATCCTCCAAGCCACACAGCTGCTCGCTTGCTGGTCCCTGTGTTTCTTCTACCACCTCCAGACTCTGGGCTCCCCGGTGCTTCCCAGTCTTCATGCCTCCCAGCACATGGAAGATGGCGGTATTCGCACAACACAGAGTCCGCTGCTGGGGCAGTCTGCAGCCTGAGAGGATCAGCCGGAAGTCTTGAACAGACACCCCGGCCCCCGACCCTGGCTGAGCAGTCCTGAAGGGGTTGGGGGGGAGGGGCAATGCCTCTGCCCATAAATACGCCTTAGTGCACCTACACCCAGGTGAAGACACTAGCATTTGCTAAGCACCTACTAGTTGCTAGGCATCTTCTAATCAAGCTCGTTTAATACCAGCTATGTTCAAGGGGTTAAAAGCCTCAGCTAAGGTCACTCAACCAGTAAGTTGTACAAACGAGGTTCTGAGCCAAGTCTTCTACCTCCATATCTGTTAGTTCCTCCCTGGCACGACTGAGACAAGCCTGGTGAAATGACCTTAAACACCCCTCCGGAGGGAAGTCTGGGGAGGCTCTTAACTGAGTGCTGGCGGAGAGTACCGTCTGTCTCAAGCACCTGGCTTGGCAGGAGAGTCTGGCAATGTGACCATTCTGTCCTGGGTGCTGAGTCTGAGCAGACCACCCAGCCTGACCACCTTGCAGCCCAGGCCCAGGCTCAGGGCCCCCACTAACCTGTGGAGGAAACTTGGCTTCTCCTGGTGGAAGCACCAGAGGTGTTGTCCCCCTCCGTACCATCTCAGGAGAACCAGTGAACCAAACCGGGATGCTCTGCTCCACCCCAGCTGGTGGGCTCCCAATTGTGACCGCCTTCCCCTCCTGGGGAGGATCCCAACCAGAAGCAAGAAAGCAGCAGGGACTAGGTCAGAACTGGTCAGAAGGCACCTGAACCGTAAGGGCCATCTGGTCAGTTCTGTCCACCTGCATTGTACGGAGGAGGAAACAGAGGCAAAGAAAGCAGCTGGGCCAGTCTGTGACTCAGGGCCTGAATTAGAGCTTGGATTCTCTGATTTCATCCAGCGCTCTTTCCTACCATCATGTAGGGCTGAATCATCTGGACCACCTGTAGTAACGGAATTTTTAGTCCAGTTTTACAGGTAAGAAGTGAAACCCCAGAGAGCGTTAGTAACATGTCCAAGGCTGCTCAGCTGCCAAGGATAGTACACCAAGCCCTTGCCCTCTACACTGCAGCCCAGGAGTGGCTAACTTCAAGCCAGAGAGACTCCGCACAGACCCTGCCCTGGCACGATACCAACATACAGCCCAGGGCCCACATGTCCAATCTTGGAAGGGGAGTCCCATGGAGACAGGCCAGCTGGCATAGCCAGTAGGCACTGGAACACAGGAGACACTCTTCCCTGGACCGTCTAGAGCTGAGTTCCCACGGGGCAGGGCCGGGGGATTGCCCTGGTTGAGAATTCTCTGCCGACCCAGGGGCAACCCGAGGGGTCCTCTGCTACATGGCTAAGCTTTCCCTGATTTGATTCCTTTTGCATCCTGTGAGAGCTATGATCTGTTCTTCAAATTCAGCAGGAATAACCAAAGTCTCCTGGTCTTTCCCGGGAATCTCACATGCTTCAGACCATGCTGGGAGGCTCCCGGCTCCCGCAGCCCCAGCCATAGTGCCCTGACCCCACATGCCTCCCTGGTCTGTGTTCAGACCAGACCACCTACCCGGGAAGGTTTCTCCCAGGTCAGGGGTCCAGAGAAGGAAGAGTGCCTCCCTCCCACCAGACAGAGCAGCTCACCAGTTGGCGACGTCCGTCGTCCACACGGCTGATCCAGAATGGAGCCTCTGGGCCTTTGGCTGTAGGGCAGGGGTTGGCTGTGGCCTGGCGTCACCAGCTCGCTGTGGGGCTGGGCTGTCAGCCACCCCCACACACTGCACATGGGCTAATCGCTTCAGTAATGAGGATGATGCACAAGAGTGTCTGCTTGGCTGGCTCCCTGTTTACCTTTGATGGGCACCACCTAGGGGGAGGGCCAGGCGAGGGCGTGGGCAGTGAATGGGGGCTGACCTTCCGCCCCAGGGCCCCGGATGCTGGGTCAGGCTGGGCCAGGCGGGCAGCCCTGTGCCGAGGTCCAGCCATCAGGACAGCGAGGCCTGGGTCGGGCCCAGCCCAGAGGAAGTTTGTCACCTCAGGTCCTGTTTCCGGGGAGTGCCTGTGCGCCTCTCTTCGGGGCACTGCCGGCTGAGGCGAGCCAGCCTGTGGTTCCTTCTTTCCCTGATTCTGGAAGGACCTTATTTATAGCTGGATGGTTATGACCCAGAAGAGAAAAACCTGAGGAAAAGGCATTTCAAATTCCTAATTTTCTCCATTCTAACCCCTGCACATTTTCATACTGTCACATTTCTGAAAACAGCCTCCAACAAACCACAGAAATGTTTAGAAACTTGTCCCAGATCACACAGAGAGCAGGGGGTGAGGCCAGATTTTAAATACTGGTTTTTCTGCTCCAAAGGCCAGTCCTCCTAATTCAAGACACAACACTTCTTTTCTTTAGTTCATTTCTATTGGTTCCTTGATTGACCCCTGGAGTCTTCTTAGGTGCAAACGTGTGTGCCCAGGAACACCCAGGGCCATGGGCCTTCATTGCAGGTGCTCCAGAGAGTGGCTGGAATCTCAGCGTGGTCTCCGTGGGAATCCCAGGTGCTTCCCCCTACTCCCCACTCCCTTTCTCTGCTCCTGGGAGCCACCTGGAGCCAAGTTTCCAATTGCTCCTCTCAGTTGACATTGAGATGGTGTTTTCTGAATCAGAGTGAGGCTCCAAGCCTCACTCTTGATCTTTAACCTCTCTTCCTTGGGTTCCTGTACCAGTCCCCTGCAGGCTGGCCACCCCAGTGCCCTTGCCCATCCCCAGGGTGGAGTGACCTCCTAAAACATCTTCCACTCCCTCGTTTCCTCTGCCCTCCAACATGGCCTCTGCTCCCATCATTCTACCAGAAATACTCTAAGGTCAACAACTTGTTCAATCCTGTGGTCAGTGAGGTGCTCAGACCTCGTCATGCTTGACATCTCAGCAGCATTTGACAGCTGACTGCCACCTCTAGTCTCAGAAAATGCTGCCCTTGGCTCCTGTGCTTCTGGCTTCCTGGTTTCTTCTCTCCAGCTCTTCCTTTGCAGCCTCCTTTGCCGGCTCCTCCTCTGCTGCTGGAGCTCCTCAGGACTCTGGCCTGAACCCTCCTCTCTGTCTCCCAAGGCGATCTCACCCCCACCCCTACCCCAAGGCTTCATTTAAAATCTTTGTGTCAATGATTCCTACATTTCAATATCCAGCCAGCCTTCTCTTCTAACCTTCAAACCCCAACAACTCATTCATGGACTCAGCATTTTCACTTTGATGTTTCATAGGCACCTCAAACTCAAGGTGTTAAGAACTGAACATCTAATCATTGCCCACTCACTTGCAGTCCTACCAGAAAGGGCAATAGTGATTGTCCACAGGCCCAAGGAGGAGCCTTGAAAAGTTGGCCTCCTCAGCCCCAAAAGATCCTTCTTTGCTGAGTCCCTTCAATTCTATGTCCTGATCACCTCATGTGCCACTCACCATTTTCCATCTTCACTGCCCAACCTGGGCCCATGTCACCATCTCTGCTCCCCTGAATGGCTGGAATAGCTGCTCCCATGTCTCCTCATGCTTGTTCCAGTCTTTTTTTTTTTTCCCACACAGCAGCCTGAAGGATCTTTCCAAAGTGCAAACCTGATGTTGCACCCTCGTGTAAAACCCTTTGACTGTCCTTTGGATGAAGCCCAATCATCTTGGCATGGTTTTCAAGGCCCTGCATGTTCCCCACTCTTCTTGTCCAGCCTCAAGCTCCTCTCTCCCCTGTTTTTGGAACCTAGGCTCGCTGGGCTCCTTTCTCTTCCTTGAACTTGCCATCCTTTTTGCCACCTCGGAGCCTCTACCTGGAACTCTCAGGCCACATCAATACCCTTCCCACCTCTTGGCCTCACCAACTCTCCTTCCAGGCTCAGTGTAAATATTTCTTTCTAAAATGCTTTCCTTAGCCATGTCATTGTCAGGCCTGGTCTCTGGGTTCCCTGGCCTGGCTTCTCATCCAATACGCAACGCCCTTGGAATTGTTTGTTCAAAGTCTAGCCTGTCTTTCTGACCATGAACTCCAGGAGGGCGAGGACCGAATGATTTGCTGCTGTGTCCTCAGCACTTAGCACAGGGCCTGATGTCAGCAGATGCTGGGGAATTGCTACATCAGTGAAGACACTGAGCTTCATTCCAGTCATTCTCCAGAGCCCCTGGTGAACAGAATCCAGTCCTGTCCTCTCTGTAGCTGCATTACATCACTAAATTTTGTCAGCTATCCAAACACTGGCCAGTTGGAGTTGTCCCTTTTGCTGGAAGGGGTGTGACCCATACTCCATTTATCTTTGTAAACCCCCTGCACAGGCCATAACATAGTGGCTTTGCACACAGGAGGAAACTGTATGCCAAGAATTGCACTCTTGGGACCAAGAACAACACATTACCAAACAAAGGAAGGGAGCCCGGCTTGGCTTCTGCCTGGCCCAGGTACCCTCCTTTGCCTGAGAAATCTCTCAACATAGTCCTCCTAAAAAAAACCCAGAAAAACCTGAAAATTTCCCAACCTTGTAATTATGGCCTATGAACCAATAAGGACTGCCAAGTGGACATGAAGGTCAGAGTCTCCTCTGTTTCCAAAATCCCCCCTAATAGAATGCTTGCCAGTCAGAGACTGGGCATTTCTTCTTTCTTTCTCCATAAAACTTACTGTCCTTTCAGACACCTCTGAAACTGACTGCACATGGTTCCCTTGTGGCTGCACATTTACAAATAAATAGCCTTGACTAATTTCGTCCTGGGTTTTCTTTGATTTCTGACTGTAATCTCGGTGCTGTGACCCAGATCCAGCCTCTCCTGCTTGTCCCTGTGGACTGTGGCTCTTGTCCGTATGTGGTGCCCACCAAGGCCCCTTCAGCCTCATTGCCTGTGGACCATCCTCCACGTCAACAAGTCAGTCTGCCCTGGACCTCAACTCTGTTCTTTTTGTGTTGAGTTCTTTGGCTGTTTTATTCACTTGTCGAGTCCTGTGTGTTTATATTTGGTTCGTGCTCCCCTTTTGAGCTGCGTCCTTGGTGATTTGCTTTTGCCTGTCCCTTTTTCGCCCTGGGTATTTGAGTGTTATTATGTCATGAGGAGGAGGACCACACAGCAGGACGCAGCCATCATTGCTTTAAGCTGGCTGTTTGAGCCGGCCTCACAGACCGGAGAGTTAGCCCGATCAGCACCCTCTGAGGGCAAACTTTGCTGTAAGTCACCAAGAAAACCAGATGAGAACGTCCTCCCATCCTGGCTGTTTCTCCTGAGAGCTTGGTTCTGATTTGGAGACAGCACCCTCTCTCTCTGATGTATTCCACCTGCCAGGGACTCAGATAGTTGGGTCTGTGTCCAGATGCGGCCGATCGTTAGGTCAGGGGCCTGAGACCTAACAAGTTGAAGCTGCTCGTAAGTTGTATGATTAACTTCAACTGACGGGAACAAGGAGTCTCCTCCATGTAATCTGTGTCCCCCTCCAGCAGAACTTCACCAAGAATGATTTGACTGGGCCTTCAGTGGACACTTTGGGGGAACACTTAAGTTAACTAGAGCTGCTTATTTGAGAGGTACCTTAGAACAAAACCCAAACAAAATTCCCTAGGCCCAATGAGTAGTGTGTTTTGGTTGGTACCCTGATGCTTCTAAGCAAAATTCCAATTCTAAAACTCCAATTCTTTGAATAATTTTTTTTGGTCAAGGCTAAACAAGGAACTTGATGACTTAAAACATAAACTATCTGGGATAAAAGTGTCTCCTTTATTAACCCCCGCCTCCAATACCCCACCTCTCCAACATACACTCTCTTCCACTCACGCGGATCTGAACCCCAGCCCTCTAACCTTTTCCCTCCCCTTGCCTGGATTTCTTGCCTTTTCTTAATAAGCCCCTTGACACTCCAAAACATCAGTTTCCTTTAAAAATGCATCCTGTTTGAGAATCACACACACCACCTGCCGTAGAGTTTGAACTCTGGTCTCAGCGCGACTAAGAACTGTTGTCCCAGATTTCTCCAAACCCTGACAAGACAGACGCCTCCTTTGGAGAATTCTGACTCTCCCAGGAGCCTATGATCCAGGCTTGCCAGATCTCTGCCAACTAATTCACACATTGGAAGGAAGATTAAATGCTAAATTAGCAAAAGAGACCAATCTAGGGTCAGACTTAAGGGATCCCCGCACGCGTGCTAAACCAACAGGCATCAAGAGAGTCCAGAAAAGAGATCGGAATTTACTAAAAGTGATTTCTGGGACCTTCCCTGTAAAAATTAATTGGAATCAAGAGAATGAGAAGACAAGACACAAACAGAGTGAAAATTTTTGCAAATGACTTATCTGATATAAGACTGTCATCCAAAATATATAAAGAATCCATAAAACTCAACAATAAGAATATGAACAACCTAATTTAAAAACTGGGCGAAAGACTTGAATGGATACCTCACCACGGAAGAGATACAAATGGAAAATGAGCACATGCAAACGTGCTTAACATCATACGTTATTAGGGAAATGCAGACTAAAATCCACCACACACCTATTCTAGCCAAAATATAAAACACTGATGGCACCAAAAGCTGGTGAGGAGGTGGACCAAAAGAAACTCTCGTCCATTGCTGGTGGGAATGCAAAATGGTCCAGCCACTTTGGAAGACAGTTTGGCAGTTTCTTATGAAACTAAACATACTCTTACCATACAATCCAGAAATCATACTCCTTGATATTTACTCAAAAGAGTTCAAAATTTATGTGCACACAAAACCCTGCACATGGATGTTTACAGTAGCTTTATTCATAATTGTCCAAACTTGGATGCAACCAAGATGTCCTTCCACAGGTGGATGGAGAAATAAACTGTGGTACATCTAGAT